TGAGCTCCTGCTTTAAAAGTAAATATTATTTTTTTTATTAGGGCCTTCAGAGAAAATAAATAAACACAAAAAGCAAAAAGGCACAAAAGAAGGGGATTAAAAAAAGGATACAGTTATAATGGCCTTTAAAAAAAAAAACAGATCATTTTTCATACTTAGGACCGTTGTTGCCTCCCCATGGTCACGTCATCAGAGTTTGGATGCTTAGCAACTGACTTGGACTTACGACGGTTTCAGCATCCCAGAGAGCTGGGATCCCCTTTTGCGCCCTTCTGACCAGCGAAGTCCATGGGAGAGACAGATTTACTTAACAGCCTTGTTACCGGCTGAACAACTCAGGGATTTACTTAACAACGTCAGCAAGGGAGGTCGTAAAACAGGACAAAGCTCAATTAGCAACTCTCTTGCTTCGCAGTGGAAATTGTAGCCCTAAGTTGAGGATTACTTATACTCGTGCATCAACGAGGGGTCTTAGAGGCTAGTTTCCGAGTATTTTGGTATATTAGAATATTCATTTAGAGTAACAGAGATGGAAGGGGTCTTGTAGGTCATCTAGTCCAACCCCACCCCCACCCAAGCAGGAGACCCTACACCATTTCAGTCCAGTCTCTTCTTGAAAGAGGATGAAGGCAAGCTGTTCCATTCCTATAATTGATTATGATTATATTGATTTAAAAGCCTGAAAAATCACCACTATTAAAATTGCTATAGTTCTACCGCTTAGAAAGGGAGAGGAAGTGATGTCACCAAGTCCAATGATATCATTTGCTCAATGACATCATAGCTTCTCTCTTCGCAGAAGGGGTTCGAATGTGTGGATTTCAACCCCCATTTTCCTTTGCCCGTCGTGAACTGGGGCGGTTACAAAATCAAGGAAGGGAGAAGTTGATTGATTTATGAGACTCGGGTAACTGCCCTTCTTATAAACACAATTCTGGGCAGCTCATCATAAGTTTTATAAAGCCCAACGTCGCAAAACGAGAGAAGCAGAAACAAAAACTTGGCAATGCAACCGATTGAGCTTCGTCTTCATCCTGACCCAGCGCTAGGAGAAAGTCCAGAATACCTCAGTGTTTATCAATCTTAGCCCTTGAGGAGGGGTGGACTTCAACTCCCAGAATCCCCTAACCAACCAGGCTGGCTGAAGGATTCTGGGAGTTGAAGTCCATCCCTCTTCCGTCTTCATCCAATCCCAGCGATTAGAGTAAATCCAGAATATCTCAGTGTTTTTCAATCTCTTAGCCCTTGAGGAAGGGTGGACTTCAACTCCCAGAATCCCCTAGCAAGCCAGGCTTGCTGAGGGATTCTGGGAGTTGAAGTCCACACCTCTTCTGCCTTCGTCCTATCCCTCAGTGTTTCTCAATCTTAACCCTTGAAGAGGGATGGACTTCAACTCCCAGAATCCCCCAACCAACCAGGCTGGCTGAAGGATTCTGGGACTTGAAGTCCACTCCACTTGATTGAAAAACAATGAGAGATTTTGGACTTCCTCTAATTGCTGGGATAGGATGAAGGCAGAAGAGGGGTGGACTTCAACTCCCAGAATCCTTCAGCCAAACTTGTTGGCTAGGGGATTCTGGAAGTTGAAGTCCACCTTTGTCCTATCCCAGTGCTTGGAGGAAGTCCAAAATCTCTCATTGTTTCTCAATCTTAGCCCTTGAAGAGGAGTGGACTTCAAGTCCCAGAATCCTTCAGCCAGCCTGGTTGGTTGGGGGATTCTGGGAGTTGATACCCTCTTCAGGTATCTAAATGTGAACAATACTGCTGCATCAGGAAGATAGTTTTCCAAATATGGGAGCATACAAGTAATTCTCGACTTCCAACCCCAAGTGAGCCCCAAATTTATGTTGCTAAGTGAGACAGTCGTTAAGCGAGTTTTACCACCTTTCTTCCCACAGTTGTTAAGTGAATCTCTGCAGTAACAACTAATTGTTCAGTGAATCTGGCTTCCCTATGGACTGTGCTTGTCAGAAGGTCGCAAAAGGGGCAATCCCATGACCACCCATCATAAATATGAGTTAGCTCCCAAGCGTCCTCCAAATTTTGATCATGTGACCATGGGGATCCGTGTGAAAAACGGGCATCGGTCCCTTCTTCCCAGTGCCACTGTCCCGTGCTGACGGTCACTAAACAAATCTCTTTAAGTTGAGGACAGGCTGAACGTCAGATTCCCATGAGGCAGTTTGGGAGCCCCAAAATTATACGCTGAGCTTCACACCCCCAAAACGACGGTTGCCAAAGATGGGGAAACTCCTGCTGCACTCCACCTCTGGCTAATCTCTCCCTTCTGTGCGTAGTCGGTAGGCGACAAGAAAGAACAAGCTGTGGTTTGTTGCTTGGTCTTCCTTGTTCCCTGGGGTGGCGCAAGAGGTTTGAGTTTCTGTTGATCTGTCCCTGTTTACGCACAACAGGACCCAGAGGTCAGCCTGTCTACGGACGGGGTGTTTTCCATGCTGGTGGCCTTGGGCCAAATAGGTCACTGCTTTCTCAGTTTTCGTTCCCTCAGAAGAAGACGGGGACATCCAGCCACCTTTGAAGGGCCTTGTATTTTTCCTTCCCTTGTCCCGCTGACAGTGAGATTTAATCTCAGGTTACAGCCTTAATGGCGGGGTCACTAAACTCCAAGCAAACACGTGGAAACTCATCAAGGAGTGAAGCCGGCTAGACCTCAGGGGAAATTGTTCCCCGAAATTGGCCCGTGGAACTGGCTGCTACCAGAAGTTGTGGGTTAGGTATAATACCAGAAAACTATAACAAAGGGAATACATATTTCATATTACCCATGTTTTCCCGAAAATAAGACCCTGTCTTATGTATATTTTTTGGCACCCAAAAAGGCACGCGGTCTTATTTTCAGGGGATGTCATCCACTGACTAACCTCACTTGCATGCGTCGCTCCTGGCCTCCTTTTCGCTGTCAGAGGCCTTCAGGAGCTTCTTCTGTGGCCAGCAAGGCTTGACTGAAGGCCTCGCAGCCGGTAACAGCCGATAACTCCGGATCGATCCAGAAGCCTTCAGGAAAGCCTTGCCGACTGCAGAAGAAATGGGCCGGCAAGGCAGGTGTTGGGGTGTGCGAGGCCTGGCTACAACTGCCCAAAGGTAAGTAGTAGGGCAATTCCACCACCCCCATCCCCAACCTAGCTTAATTTTTACCTGTCCACTCTGGAGTGGGTGGAGTCTTAATTAGGGCTTATTTTGGGAGGTAGGGCTTATATCGAGCACAGGTGTAAAAATCAAGCTAGGACTGACTTTCAGGGTAGGTTTTATTTGGCGGGAAAATACAGTGGCACGAATTATATTTGCACAACGTTGGAAGAATGAGGATACTCCTACAGACAAGAAGATAATCCAAAAGGTATTAGACTGGGCAAAGATGGATAGATTGACACTAATAAATGGCAAGGAAGGAACAGAATACTTTTTAACATGGGTTGTGTTTTACCAGCGGTTAGATAACAAGTAGAAATTAGAAGGCAAAATATTATTATTATGTATAAGGAAATAATGAAAGATTATTATTATTATATAAGCAAACAATATAGTATCATTACAATTATTAGCATTAGCGTTATTATGATTAATATTAGACTATATAAGTAAAATGACTCAGATGACACAATGTTCATTAAGCACCTATGTTGATGAAAATAATTAAAAATAAATAGATAGATAGATAGATAGATAGATAGATAGATAGATAGATAGATAGATAGATAGATAAATAGATAGATAAATAGATAGATAAATAGATAAATAGATAAAAAGAAGTTGTGGGGTTTTAAGAAGACAATTGGACAGCTATTTGGCCAGGATGGTATACTATACAGGTAGTCCTTGACTTACGATAGTTGGTTTAGTGTGCGTTCAAAGTTAAACATAGGGCCATTTTTCACAGTTACGACCTTTCCTGATGATCACAGGATCAAAATTCAGATGTTTGGCCGCTGGTTCCTATTTATGACGGCTGCAGTGTCCCGGGGTCACGTCATCCCCTTTTGCGACCTTCTAACGAGCGATGTCCATGAGAGAGACAGATTCACTTAACAACCGTGTGACTAACTTACCGACCATGGCAATTCGCTTAACCAACAGCGGCAAAGAAAGATCGTAAAATGGAACAAAACTCGTGGCAGGCTTCCAACGATTGCCTAATTCAGCCATGAGCCTCAGGCCTTTCTTGCCACAATTTGTGAAGTGAATCATTACAGTGGTTAAATTAACAACATGGTTTGTTTATGGGAAAGTCGCAAAAGGGGACCCCGGGACACTGCAAAGCATCATAAATGCGAGTCAGTTGTCAAGCATCCAAATGTCAATCATGAGGCTGCCACGGTCAATGAACGGTCGGTTGCAGGAACTGGGCCTGGCTAGCCAAGTGACGGGAAGGACCAGGGGAGACAGGATAGCAGTCTTCCAATATTTGAGGGGCTGCCACAGAGAGGAAGGGATCAAGCTGTTTTTCTAAAACACCCAAAGGCCGGACAAGGAATAATGGATGGAAACTGAACAAGGAGAGATTTAACCTGGAAATAAGGAGAAATTTTCCGACAGTGAGAACGATCAACCCATGAAACAGAAGTTCCAGACAAAGTACAAAAGGAAATAGAACAAAATTAAATACAAAAGTCAATAGGACAAAAGTCAATAGAGCAAAAGTAAATAGGAACAGACGTTGCCTTTGGAAGTTGTGGGAGCTTCATCCCTGGATGCTTTCAAGAAGAGACAGGACGGCCATCTGTCAGAAATGGCGTAGGGTCCCCTGCTTGGGCGGGGGTTGGGCTAGATGACCTGCAAGGTCCCTTCCGACTCTGTTAATCTGTAATGTCTACAAGAGAGGCCAGCATCTTATCTCAATAGAGTATTATCAGGAACATTTCCCCATTGTTCCTGACCTGGTTTTACTCACGGGTAGGAAATAGTTTGGGTTGAAAAAGGTTGGGTTGGGAGAAGATAAGGTCAGTGATGGTTCCTTCTTCATGGTCTTCCTTGCTTTTCCACAGTGCTGCTGACCTGGGTGAATTGTGCCAGCGTGCGCTGGGCAACCCGTGTCCAGGATATCTTCACCGCTGGGAAGCTGCTGGCTCTGGCCTTGATCATTATCATGGGAATTGTGCAAATTTGCAAAGGTGAGGCGAGTCGGATCCAACTGGGCGTATTATTTCCAAAGTTTGTGCGTGCTTTTGTGGAGGTTTTTTAAAGAGATTGAACAGAAGTTGATCTGGAATGGTACAGGGCAGGGGTCCCCAACCTTGACCCCTTTACAACTTGTGGACTCCAACTCCCAGAATACTGGCTGAGAAATCCTGGGTGTTGAAGTCCACAGGTTATAAAATGGCGGTTTCCAAATTTGGCCATTTTATAACTTGTAGACTTCAACTCCCAGAATACTGGCTGAGGAATCCTGGGCATTGAAGTCCACAGGTTATAAAATGGCGGTTTCCAAACTTGGCCATTTTATGACTTGTGGACTTCAACTCCCAGAATACTGGCTGAGGAATCCTGGGAATTGAAGTCCACAAGTCATAAAGGGGCCAAGGTTGGAGACCTCTGGTATAGTCTCTTCCTTGAGCAGCGGGCTGGACTAGAAGACCTCCGAGGTCCCTTCCAGCTCTTGTATTCTGCATTTCTCCTGCCATATTTGGGGTGAAGAGGTCGCAAAGGTGTAAACGGGGGAACATGGACGCCATTTTGGGGTGGCTTGATTTATAAGGTGGGCTGATTTCCTGCCCACAGGGAAGAAGGAGAGTGGGAGATATAGCTGGTTTGGGAAGGGAGATTAAATAGAAGAGACCCCAATAATGGCTGAGGATGTTTTTTGTCCTTTGATGTAGGAGAGTACTTTTGGCTGGAACCCAAAAATGCCTTCGAGTTCTTTCAAGCTCCAGAAGTGGGGCGGATCGCTCTGGCCTTCTTACAAGGGTCATTCGCTTACGGGGGCTGGAACTTCCTCAACTACGTCACCGAAGAATTGGTGGACCCTTACAAGTGAGTGAGAGCCTCTCCTGGTGGTGTGAGAGATGGAGAAGGCCCACCTCGGTCTTCGTTCCACCTTCCGCCACCTCAACTTTTTCTGTCCTCCACAGGAACCTGCCTCGAGCCATTTTTATCTCCATTCCGCTGGTCACCTTTGTCTATGTCTTCGCCAACGTGGCTTACATCACCGCCATGTCTCCCCAGGAGCTTCTGGCCTCCAACGCTGTTGCGGTGGTGAGTCTCCATAAACAACGTTCAAATCCCTCTTTGGTTCCTGGTGAATTGATCCCCCAACGCCTCCTTGTTATTTTTGTCTCCACAGACGTTTGGAGAGAAACTCTTAGGAGTGATGGCTTGGATCATGCCCATTTCTGTTGCCCTCTCTACCTTTGGAGGCGTCAATGGCTCCCTCTTTACTTCCTCCAGGTGAGTAGACCTAGCCTCCCAACCAACAGGGTGGATTTCCCAACCTTGATCACAGTTCAATTTGCAGGCGATGCTATGCTGGCAGGAATAACTAACACCTAGAACAGGGGTCCCCAAGCTGGGCAATTTTAGGACTTATGGACTTCAATTCCCAGAATTCTCCCACCAGCCAAATTTGGAGACCTCTGCCCTAGAAGATAGGCTCACAGACTTGAACCCTGGGCCCTCTCTAACAAATTGAAATTCAACATAGGGAAAAGTCAAGTATACACTTAGGCAAGAAAAACTCAAAGGACACATATAGACTGGGTGAAACCAGACTTAATAGCATTAGCCAGGAGAAGAATCTCGGAGTCTTAGTGGACAACCAGCTAAATAGGAGCTAGCAGGCTGTGGCGGCAGCCAAAAAAGTGCAATCCTAAATTGCATTAACAGAGGGATACAATCCAGATCAAGGGAGGTACTAATACTACTCTATAAAGCCTTAGTAAGGCCACACCTAGAATACTGCATCCAGTTTTCGTCACCACACTATAAAAAGATGTTGAGACTCTAGAAAAAGTGCAGAGAAGAGCAACCAGGATGATGAGGGGACTGGAGGCTAAAACATACAATGAACAGCTACAGGAGCTGGGCCTGGCTAATCTAGGGAAAAGAAGGACCAGGGGAGACAGGATAGCCGTCTTCCAATATTTGAGGGGCTGCCCCAGAGAGGAGGAAGGGGTCAAGCTGTTTTCCAAGGCACCTGAATGCCAGACAAGGAATAATGGATGGAAACTGATTCAACCTGGAAATCAGGAGAAATTTTCTGACAGTGAGAACAATCAACGCATGGAACAGAAGTTACCTTCAGAAGTTGTGGGAGCTTCATCCCTGGAGGCTTTCAAGAAGAGATTGGACTGCCATTTGCCATAAATGGTGTAGGGTCTCTGCTTGGGGTGGTGGTGGTTGGACTAGATGACCTACAAGGTCCCTTCCAACTCTGTTAAACTAATCTAGAACAACCTTTGGAGATGCCCTGGGATCCAAGGATACTCCCTAAAAACCAGCCCGAGTGTCACTCATATAACCATTCGCTTATTAACCACAATAAAAAAAAATGATTGTAAAATTAGATCTGGTCCCCTGCTGATCTGCTTAATGACTGCACTGCTTTTCGACCAAATTTTCCTCTTGTGGTCATAAGTCAAGGACTATCTGTATTCATTCTTTTTCCCCCTAATGAGATTTATTGCTCAGAGCAGCGTTACGAAAGAGAATCGGATCTCTGATTTTAGCACCCCGAGGCGATGCTTTAATTGTTGATGCTGGCTGTTCGGGTAATTTTTATCTCCTCAATCTGCCTAGGGAAGACAGTAAGCTGTGTTCAAAACAGAGCATCTCCGGTGCAGATTATAGAACACACCAATAATATCTGTCTCCACTTGCTATTGTTTTCTTTTGCAATATTATTTTCCCTTCTTCCCCTAGGCTGTTTTTCGCTGGCGCCCGCGAAGGGCATCTTCCCAGCGTCTTGGCCATGATTCACGTCCGAAGGTGCACTCCGATACCTGCTCTACTTTTCACTGTGAGTCACCGGGGGAGAAATAAAGGCAGGGAGATCTGGGGAAATCCCGCGCGGGTAGGATCCAAGGAGAACAGGCCATGTTTGTCTACCTCGATGGCTTGAAGATGAGTGGACTTCAACTCCCAGAACTCATCAGACAGTAAAATTCAGGGGTGGGATTCTACCGGCTCGGACCGGTTTGGGAGAACTGGATGTTAAATTTACATCTGGCCCTGCCCGCCCCGCCCCGCCCCTCCCAGGATTCCCCACGCAACCCATTTTGAATGCAGGTAAGTGCAGGATCCACGCAGAGGCTCTGGGAGGGGGGAAAACGGCCAAACCGGAAGTTCCGGAAGTCAGGAAACAGACCCGTTTCTGGCTTCCGGAGGGCCTCCAGAGCCTGGGGAAGGCCGTTTTCATCCTCCCAGAGGCCCGAGGGAAGCCTCCAGACCCTGGGGAAAGTGAAAAATGGCTGAACTGGAAGTTCTGGTAGGCCACACCCACCATGGCCATGCCCAACTAGCAACCGGGCAGCGAACCAGTTGCTGGGATTTTTGAATCCCACCCCTGATAAAGTTCCGAAGTACTTGCTAAGCTGGTGGTAAATCAGCACTGCCGTTGACTGACAAAGATTCTGTTTCCCAGGTTTCAATAATTTCCCACACTGTTTTTGTACCTGCTCAGCCAACAATCTGAATAGCTGCGAAATTGAATGTATGTCCTTTGTTCATTGCAATGTGAAGCTACCAATGAATTTTGGGTCTCTTCACCTGATCACACAACTTGTGTTCTTGCAATCTGGCGGGCGGCTTCCTCCCCACCCGTCCTACATAGTCACAGGGGCAACCCCCTGCCTCTTATCAAGCTGCCTGGGAGATTCTGGGCGTTGAAGCCCATCTCTCTTCAAGCTGCCGAGGTTGACAAACACACAGATGTGGTTGACTGTTGTGGGAGAATTGTCCAACGTTGTCAATAGTTTAAACCCGTCGGCTCATTTTCTTTTATGCTGTCTCTGGCAGTGCCTGTCCACCTTGCTTATGCTGGTCACAAGTGACATATATACACTGATCAATTATGTTGGTTTCATCAACTACCTCTTCTATGGAGTGACAGTGGCCGGACAGATCGTGCTCCGCTGGCGCGAACCCCATCGCTCATATCCGATCAAGGTAAGAACCCAGCCGAGACGTGACTCTGTTTTTGATCTCTCGATCAGTCATCATTTTTGCACTTAATTTCTTTGGCATGGGCACCTGCCACGCAGGCTGAGTATGGTGCTTTCTAGCATGCTTCAGTGCTTCTAGTGTAGTCAGTTTCTCCGCTTTGAGCACCGTCAGTTTCTCTGCTTCCAACGCAGTCAAGTTCTTTGCTTCGAAAGTGGTCATTTCTCCACTATGAGCACGGTCAATTTCTTCACTATGAGCATGATCAACTTCTCCACTTTGAGCAGAGTCAACTTCTCCACTTTAAGTGCAGTCAATTTCTCCATTTCACGTCTGGCTATGTTGCAAGATCTGGGTCAGTCACCAGAATCGGAGATTTAGTCTTCCTTTAGTCTTTAGCTTTCGGACTCATGATGAAGCCCATCTCTACTGGAATATGTGCTTTGAGCTACTCTATGCTTCGTATTTAGGTAGTGCCTTCCTATTGGTTGATTGGTGTGTGGATGGCCGGCGATTGGCTGTTGTTTTCCTTGTGTTGTCAACTCCTAAGTACTTGATAAACTGGTAGCAAATCAGCCCTCCTGTTGACTGTTTCCCAGGCTTCAATTATTTCCCTGGCTGTTTTTGGACCTACTCAGCCAACAATCTGAGTAGCTATGAAATTGAATGTACGTCCTTGTTTCCTGCAATGTGAGGCTGCCAATGAGTTTTGTGTTCTTACAATCTAGTTGGCTTCCCCGCCCATCCTACATAGTCACAGGGGCAATCCCCTGCCATTTATCAAGTCCTTAGGAGCTGAGGAGTCCGGCAGCACAAGGAAACAACAGCCAATCGCTGGCCATCAATGCACCAATCAATCATTAGAAAGGCACTTATGTAAAGCTCTTCCAAAGAGGGGAGAGGGCAACCCATGATCTTCTAGGCAATGACCTTAACCCTCTGGAGTGCTTTCCTATCTGCCCCTGTGCAATTGGCAAACCATACAGAGGTGCGGTATGTTAAAATGCTCTCTATGGTGCAGTGGTAGAAGGTCACCAGCAGTTTTTCGTTCAGTTGTGGTTTCCTAAGAAGTTTCAGATAGGTACAATGTCCTACTTCAGCTTCAACCCCAACAATACATGGGCCTACAATAGATACAAACTCAGGATAAACTGCACAAAACCCATTTCCAGGAAATACGACTTCAGCAACAGAATGGCCAATGTTTGGAATACTCTACCTGCCTCTGTGGTTTCTTCCACTAACCCCAAACACTTTAACCTCAGACTGTCTACTGTTGACCTCACCCCATTCCTAAGAGGTCTGTAAGGGGCATGCATAAGCGCACTGGCGTGCCTACCATCCCTGTCTCAATGTTCCCTTTTATTCGTATCTATTTCATGTATTAATAATATATAATAATTATATATATTATCAAATGTATGCTTGACAAAATAATAAATATAAATAATATAAATATAAATATAAATAAAATCTTTGCTGGGCCCTTTTGACCAGTGCTTCAGTGTGAGCACCCCAGGTCAGGTCCTCTTTTAGGATAACACCCAGAAACTTAAAAGGTGCATTTGCCTTCATTTGTGTGGCTATTTTCTCCGCTTTGGGTGCTGTCAATTCCTCTGTCTTAAGTGCAGTCAATTTCTCTGCTTGCAATGCCGTCAATTTCACCGTGTCGAATCCGGTCAGTTTCACTGCTTTATGTGTGTGATCAGTTTCCCCACCTTATTGCCTGAATCCACATGCAGACCAAGAATTGTTGATGGGAAATGAAACTTAACTGTTTCCAGCTCAACAAAACCTTTGAGACATCCCACTCCTTCATTTCCACCACCACTACCAACCGCCCTTCCTACCACCTGAGAGAATTTCTATCTGCTTCCACTCGAAATTATAAAACTAAATTTGGATTTTTCCTTTAATTCGCATGCAAAAAATGTTAAACCAGATCACAACCACAAACAATCCCCACCCATAATTCCTAAGAAACAAGGAAGCCAGTAAGATCAAGCTGTATTTCCTCAAAACATGGAAACCAAAACTCCTGCTTATTATAGTGTCAGGCGGAAACCTAAAAATTAATCATTTATACCCTGCAACAGAAAACATTTTAGGATTTTTCAGAGCTATATTGATAAGGGTTGACCTCAAATGTTCCCAATTTGTTTTGACAGCTTTTTGTTTTGTATAAAAAAGTGGACTTCAGACCAAACTTGTGAGGTTTATCTTGGAGGGTGGGGTTTAAAATTTAATTTATTATTATTTTTGTAATTCAGAAAACCTTTGAAGCCTAAGGACTAAAAAAGGATTTAGCTCTCCAGAACAGTAACCGTGAAACAAGGTTTATTGCAGGCCGTGAAATATATTTCTAAATAGACACACAGCGGCATTGTAAAAGAATTTAAACGTCGGATTTTTAATTTTAACACACTGATTGTTACCTATCCAAGTTTCTGTCAGTTGGTGTTCCATTCAAAATCCAAGAAAGAAATACTTAGACTCTTTTAATCAGAGAAAAGATATCTTTTTACTGGAAGTCACACGGTAGCAACAAAAGAATTCTGAATCTGAGAAAATGGGCGCATAAATCACATCTACAAAGTGATGGCAACGTTCCCACCCCCAATAGTTCAAAGGGTTCTTCCAAGTAAAAGTTGTGAATATCATCATGTGGACGTCTCCAGGTGGTGTTGAGGCTTCTGTCCATTGACCTTGGCATACTTTGATAAAGGTTTGCATCTGTGCCTAGCATAGAAGAGAAAGCAAGCAATAGAAACCTAAGCAAGAATGTATCCCCCCCACCCGCCCCCCAGTTTATACAGTTCTGGTTTGTAACACCTCCAGCTCACTTCCCATAACTTTCCCCCCTCCCCCCCCCCCCCCCCGTTACTTGTGACAGCCGAAAGATGCAAAACAAAGGGAGAAAATCTTGAAGGGTGACAGTTTCTCACTCCTGCTACATGAGCTTTCAAGGTCATCTCTAGATTAGAAGTCTTGGCTTGCACAGAATACTGGTGAGCATGCCGGAAACCCGTGGAATACAGTCCTCAATTTACAATCTTTAATTTAGTGACTGATTGAAGTTATCACGGCAACAAAAAAAAAAAATGACTTATGACCATTTTTCACATGGTCGCGTGATCCAAATTCAGATGCTTGGAAACTGGCATGTACTCAGGACGGTTGCAGTGTCCCTGATCGCCTTTTTCTGACAAGGCAAATCAAAGGGGAAGCCAAGACTCACCCCCCCCACCACACACACACCCAACCGTGCGACTAGCTTAACAATGGCAGCGGAATCACTTCAGAACGGGAGCAAGGAAGGTCACTCTAACCCCTGCCTCGCTTAGCCACAGAAGTTTTGGGCTCTGTTGTGGTCATAAGTCGAGGACTACCTGTACAGAGAAAGTGAGATTTGGGATAGGGCATCTGTTCCTTTCAGCAGTGCTAGTCGAGAGCTCGGGCTCTCCTTGCTAAGGAAGTAGGTATTTTATTCCCCCTCTAGCGTTACGGTCTAGGAGGTTCAGGAGGCTGCGAATTCGATTCCAGGTAGAGGCAGATGTTTCTCTGCCTGGGCATAATGAGAATATATCCGCTGAACACACAAAAAAACTCCGCATTGGCGACAGGAAGGGCATCCGGCCAGTAAAACACTCCGCTAGCTCCATTCAGTTGCCCAGATTCTATCCCGCAAGGGATTATGGGGTTTTTTAAAAAGGAAGATGATGATGATGATGTTACGGTCTAGGTTCAGCCCATTTCTCTTCCTCCACAGGTGAGCCTGTTCTTCCCTATCGTCTACCTGCTCTTCTGGGCCTTCCTGTTGGTCTTTAGCTTGTGGTCGGAACCACTGGTTTGCGGCATTGGCCTGGCCATCATGTTGACAGGGGTACCCGTCTACTTCCTGGGTGTCCATTGGGAGAACAAGCCCCCGTCCTTCAATACCCTGGTCGGTGAGTCTTGGGGGGCTGGGATAGGCCAAAGACGGGGTTTTTCCCTTTAGCCGAGAATATTTGTTGCTCGGGGTTGAATGGGGGGAGCGGGTTGGGGCGGGGGGTCCTGGGTGCCCTCTGAGCTTGCTAGCTTTCTTGCAGATGTCTCATGACCCAACTAGGTAACAGTTTATTCTAGTGGCTTGACCACCAACATTGACAGGACGCAAGGGACTAGTATATAAACAAAAAGCAAGTCCCGTTCCTTTCTAGCACTGATGAGGTTACCTAGTTGGGTCATGAGACGTCTGTAAGAAATTAACCAAGTTCAGAAATAGCACCAAAGACCTTACAGTCTTCCTCCTTCTCCCTCCACTCCTCAAAATTTCCTCCCTTCTAGACTGATGATGTTCTCTAATTGGGTCATGAAACGTCTGCAAGAAAAACCACCAAGGCTCAGAGAGCACCAAGGACCCTGTAGTTCCCCTCCTCCTTTTCCTCCTCTCCCCAAACCTCACTTCCTTTTAGCACTGATGTTGTTAGATAGTTGGGTCATGAAACGTCTGCAAGAAAAACCACCAAGGCTCAGAGAGCACCAAGGACCCCGTAGTTCCCCTCCTCCTTTTCCTCCTCTCCCCAAACCTCACTTCCTTCTAGCACTGATGACATTAGATAGTTGGGTCATGAGACGTCTGCAAGGAAAACAACCAAGCTCAAGAGAGCACCAAA